GAATTGGTGTCCATAAACAGGTAGAAACTCCTTTCCCTCTGAAATATTCAACCAATTTTCATGGAGGTATGTGATAATCTGTAAGCAAAAGGACTTATGTGAACTAAAAAACCAGAGTGTTCAGAGAATTAGGAAACAGATGTAATATCCTCCACATGCAAAAAGTTATATAGTATACAGTTTGTCACTATGCATTTTGTGTAGCATTGCAACTTAATCATTTTAAGCATGTGGCTCTATATCCTTGGGACTTTTTAAGACTGGGAATATTTTTACACGACTCCTCAAACTGAAAACAATTAACACATACAACCTTTATGTGGTTAAATACCATCATATACAGTGCGCTCCAAAAGTATTGGGATAAGAGTTCAAATTATCCATTTATAGCTGTATGCCCTGAAAATTTGAATCTCAAATCACAAAATTAATACGAGACAAAAGCAGAGAATATTCCCTTTTACCCATGGTTATTTTTATGCATAAATGTTTCACCATTATACAACAGCACTATTTTGCTCATATCTCCACATTTTAGATTAGCTTAATTACTGGGACAAATGGGTTTACAGGTGTTTCTAATTGCCCAGGGGTTACAAGCTGCAAACACTGCACATACACAAAACAGCAGTGAAGGTGTAGGCATAACTGAGGTCTTTTGAAACCGTTTTTGAAGTCTTTCACTTGACTTACTCAGCGGAAACCAACATAAAGACCAGAACACTCACTGTGACAGAAAACAAGGTCATTCTGAAAATGAGAGGAAAGAAAATGACCATCAGAGATATTAAGACTCTTGGCATTGCGAAATCAACTATCTTGAATGCTCCTGAGGAAAAGGAAACTGGAGGAGTCAATAATAAAATGAATATACGGCATCCTAAAAAGACAAAGGCAAATATTTCTACATGTAAAAAAAACAATTATTAATGAAGAGTGTAGGGGTGCAAATCTCAAGTACTGCAATTTCACAGAAGACTTCAAGAAAAATTCAGAGGCTGTACTGCAAGGTTGTAAGTGCCTCATCTGCAGCAAGAACAGAAAGGCTCAATTGGAATTTGCAAAAGAATACTGAGATGAGCAACAGAAGTTCTGGAACAAGGTTTTATGGGCAGATGAATCCAAAATAAACATCTATCAAAGTGATGGAAAGGCTGAAGTGTGGAAAACATCCAATGACCAAGCATACCACTTGTCAAGCATGGTGGAGGGAGTATCATGGCTTAGGCACATATGGCTGCTTCCGGAACAGGCTCAATGGTCTCTATTGATGACTTAACTGAAGATGGCAGCAGTAGGATGAATTCATAGATATACAGACATCTTGTAGGAAAACAATGGCAAGAGTTCGCTATGCAGCACAACAATGACCCAAAACATACTACTCGCTTAAAACAGGATTTAATCAGACAGAAAAAGTGGAACATTTTAAAGTGGCCAAGTCAATTACCAGATCTGAATCCAACTGAGCATGTATTTTATTTGTTCAAAAGTAGACTGCAGGCAGAAAGGCCGACCAACAAGCAACAACTTAAAGAGGCTGCACTTAAAGCCTGGCAAAGCATCTCAAAAAAGAACAATTTTCTGGTGATGTCAATGGGAGGGAGTCTTGATGCAGTTGCAAGCAAAGGATTTGAAACAAAATTTAACTTCCTTAAATTTGCTTTATGTTATGTAATGTGTTCCAATACTTATGGTCACCTAGATTTTGGAGGGACGCACTGCAACATATGCTTTGGTTCAAAATGGATTAAGTATGTTTGCAAAATATATCCTAAAATTAAAATGTGACTTTCTGAGCTCTGACTGAGAATACTTTGTTTTATGTGAATTTCAATTTCTTGTTTATATAAGAGCCCAACTTTAGTTTTTTATCCCAATATGTTTGGAGGGCCCTGTATAACATCTTAATTGCCTTGCTGTTACCTCAACACTTCCCATTCAGGATGCAAGGAATATAAGAATTAATTTCAAAATAATTACCTCTGTATCACAAATCCTACCAAATATTGGGGTTTAATACAAAACAAAAATTTATATTTGATCATGTTACTGAACATAAATCTAGGTCTTGAAATTAAACATACTTAAATATCAAATTATTTTCTGATGTCTGAGGCTTATATTCCTTCTTCTTGAATTAAAGAAGTCAAAGAGATGCAAAATGGAACTAAAGTACGCCCAACAACAGAAAACTGCAAAAGTCTACACATACTAAACCTTTTAAAACTGAATAAGCCACTAATATAAGGGACAATGTAAACCTACAATCAAGCATATAAACCTAGAACACTGCTTTCTTCTATTAAAACTGTAGAAACGTTTGATTCCAGGAGGCAAACTTCGTAAGATATTTTCTGTTGACAGATCACCAGTTTAAGTATACCTATTGCATATTTTAACTAGACCTACAAATGGGTACAATTAATAATAAATAATCATTTCTTACACCTATACAGTGCTTTTCAGGACACTCCACTTAAAGCACTTTACAGGAAATGGGGACTCACCCAGACCTTAGTTTTACTCATAACCTCTACAGTCTCAAGGTCAACTGAATCCCGGTCCTCCAATCACAGTACAGATCGTAGGCTTTAAAATTGCTTCTGAAAACCAGAGTCATCATGGGATCCATTCAACATAGCATCAATTTCGGCAAGAAAATGCAATAAAAAGACATAATTCTGCAAAAAACAAAAGCTGCAGCATTCAAGACGAGCACTGAGCAGCGCAAAACAATTGCACCAATGAAAAGCAGGGTAAAATATACAGACTCAATATTTAAATACAAAGTATTTTGCAAATTTGCAAGACATACAAGACATACAATATTTAGAAATTTGATGTTCATAATTCCACAGGAATCTACCTGTTTAGAACAAAGAAAGAAACTTTTTAAAATAAGGGATCTAAAACATAAGTAAAATCACATCATATTTAACCTGGGAAAACAGGACATATATTTCATGGACTGGCATACCGCAAACACGAGACAATTAAAAAAATACATGAAAGTAAATCTGAAAAACATTTTAAGCATGAGTGTTAATTTAAAATTTTAAATGTTAATTTAAAAGTTAAATGCTTTTAAAGTATTTTTAGATTTAAAAGTTCAAATCTAAAAGGATATACCCAATAAATTCCTAAAATGGATAGAGTGTTTCAGAGTTACAGACCCCCAATGTGGTTTCAATCCTACCGATTGATTTTACCTTTTAAACACCAGAAAGGTGGAAAGCTGAGGACATTAATTTCATCTCATTCATTTGGTTGCTAAAAATGTATTGACCCAAGGATCTCATCTAGATGTCTGCTGAAAGCTCCCAGGGACTGGTTCCAACAATATGGCTGAGAAATTTCTTCTTTACCCCCACAAACATATGTATAAGGAAGTGCCTACTGTTCTGAGTCCTAAATGCACACATTTCATCTTTAAAGAAAACAATCTGACTTATGACAGACGTTTTTGGAAATGTCTGGGGTCAGCAACCTCATTTGTTAAACAGGACCCCTGGGAAACAAATCATATTGGAGCCTTTTGGCTGGGAGCTTATTAGAATTGCTGCAGGACTGTACCACCCAATGGTCCCATTATAAGAATGCAGACATGCTCTCATTGCACGGTCATTTCACAGCACCCTCCTATTTTTGGTAAGATCACACTTGGTGGACCTTTCCTTCCCTGCTACAACTTTCTCTCCCTGTATAAGCTTTTCATTACAGTTTCAAAAATGCTGGGGAGGGTGACAAATCCACCACTCACCGCTTCCCCTTTCATTAAACTCTTACCACCTGATGCCCTGGGACTCTTCCATGTGCTTTTGGCTATTTGGGAACTTGTATTCCCTTCATAACTCCCACTCCCTGCAAAAATCAATCCTGGCTCTATCAACTCTCTGCAGAAGAGAGTTGAGCCTCTGATAGCTTGCTGTTTAGTCATCTTTCCTGTGCCTTTCACCTTAAAGGGTCAGTTTTATTTTCCATACATAGCAACAGTTTCAACTCGTTAAGGACAAACAAGTCTTCATACATTAAAGAGGAGAGATATGAATTAAATGTCAATAGCAGAATTCATTTTGTAATTTATTAACACCAACAATTGTTGATGATGTATTGTGTTCACAGTGTGGCCTGAGCATTGTTCAGCACACATTTCTTGTCACTCCACCATCAACTGTCTATAAACAAAATGAAAAAGTGTATACTGAAAATTTTACAGGATTGATAATCCTACCTTACATTATTCCTTTTAAATTCCAATGAGTGACAGCAATATTAAAGTACAGATTTTTCCTCTTATCTTAATAGGATGGGGTACTGCAACATGTCTACAAGTTGTGAATGACACTTGATCAGTATCATTCTTCAGGTAGATTCACAGGGCCCTGTGGGATCAAAATATTGCTACTGTAGTGTGCCACAACACCCCACCAGTGTTATACAGTAACTGCAATTAAGGAAGATTGTACTGGCCCCAATTTTCTATTCTGGCTAAACAATTTATTTGTTATACAATATCACTGAAGCAATATTAAGAGTGTTTTCTGAGAAAAAAGATGAGAAATCCATTCCAAGGATTTCACCCAGTCATTTCCTGGTAGAAGCCGAGTACTAGCTTTAACAACGTGGCTGGGTAAATAGTTACACATTCTCACAACCCTCTAGGTAAAGTCATGCCTCATGTGCTTGGTTATAAATGCATTTAAACATAAACAATCATATATAATACGAACAATAATATTAGGTCGGTTGAGACCATTGGAGATGTTGTACAAATAGGCATAACGCATTGCTCTTCAAGCAGCTAGGCTATGAAACAATATAATAGAAAAAACAGAATATAGTAGAATAATACCCAGACTTGCACACAATCTACAGGCACTAAAGGATAGGTTGAACTCTGTGAAGATCCACCTGTTCATTACAAAGTCTTCCAGATCTGTTTAAAGAAACTTCTCAAAGTTTTATCTTTTAACAAGAAGGCATAACAGTCTACTTACCTGTATTTTCCTGAAGCACCAGAAGCATGTCTTCAATTGCATAGGAGCTACGCTGACATTTTTCAACAGTGCACTCTTTGACCAGGTCCGGAACACTGCAAGAAGACGGTTGAAGGTCCACATGGCTTATGGGAAGTACCTTGACAAGCGTGCACTGTTCTGAGATTTTGTTTTCACTGGGCAGAACGGCTTCCATCTCCTTGTCTTTGCAAGTGTCCATCTGGAAGGAGCATTCCTTCACCTTGGAGGACGTGCATTCTTGCTTCTGTTCCAGGATAGAGTCCTGGGAGGCGACAGTCGGAATGTCAGGCAGGAAGCCCTTTGTGTTGCCCTCCTCTGACAGTGTGTCTTTTCCCTCCCTCTCTGCAGCTGCAGTGCTTATGTCCGTCAGCTCTTGGTCCTGTTGGTCAGGGGATGGAGTCTCAGCAGAACCTTTGTCTTCCGGCTCAGGGGGGGTCTCCTCCTCACTGGCATCTGTCTCCATTGCCCCTTCAGTGTCTTTTTCCTCCTTCAAAAAGATTAAAGTTGCTGATTAATAAAAACCTCTAAAAGCTTCATAATGGTCAACAGGACTGGATACGCATTTTTAGGTACACCATACACATGAAGAGAAATTAGATATCAATCCACCTATGCTGCTCGTATTTGGTTGGTGGGTGGAATCCAGAGCACCAGACAAAACCCATGCAGATTGTGACCTTCCAAATTCCACACGGAAGGTTTCCCAGCCCAGAATGGAACACAGGATGCAAGAAGTGTAAAGAATCATGCATAGGTATTGTCAAACGTACCACTAATACATCTGTAATAATAGTAGAATAGGCCTTGAATGGTAAAGAATAAGGAGAAGAAAAAGGGGACCAGGTATAACTGGTTGATTAATATAAATTAAGAACATTTTAAAAAATGAGATTTTAACACAGCTGGAGTACTATAATTTTTAGTTTAAAAGATACATTCATGCAGTTTTCTCATCAATGGCAGGGAAATCTTCAGCAAAATCTAAATAATTTAAAACACAGCCCTGTTTTCTCAAAAAGGAATTGTTTCATATTCTAGTCAAAGTGCTGCTTTCTGCCACCTTAAGTATAGCAACCCAACACTGTTACGCAACAGCAAGATCACACAACCCCTGCATTACATACTCTCTCCCTCTTCACCTAGACTGGAGATTTTATTCATCCTGCAGTAATACTAAGTGTTTGGTACTTCACTAAATATTTTGTTTAATGATAACTCGCAACTATGTGGTCCCTAACCCCAATGTATATTGGGGACCTTTTGTGCCCTGTTCTTCCCAAAACAAGCTTGTCCACCAATTAACTATAAAAAGGTTACACAATATAGTCTATACATGCGGAACATAGTATAAGCTGCTGCTAGCTGTGATAATCACTTGTGGTCCTGTAGGGCCACAGTCCATCATGTTTGGTGGTATATCAATCAATATTAGACTGCTCAATGAGTAACGGTTTCATAATATTGAAAAATCAAACAAACCACTGATTAAAATAGTCACTAACAGTCCAGGGTGGAATACAACCAGAAGACATGGCAACCCTCCAGGATCAGGAGTGGATATCAGAGTATTACAGGCTATATAGAGAGGACAATTTGCTATTCAAACTTTAAATTTGCTTTCAACAATTAAAATGTCTAGGCAACATACTCACCTAATAAGATACTACTGACATTTGTGCATACAAAGAATTCTAAATCTAATATGAAAAGTACAAGAATTCAAAAGTGCTGAAGAGCAACTGTAATACAGCCTAAGCTGCTACTAACCCTTAAAAAAAGCTGAATACCAGCTCTTCCAAGCCACAGCAGAGCCATTAATGGCTGGGTATGTGTCTGCCTGAAGTGAACTGCTCTGCCCTGCACACGAGAAGCACAGCGCTCCCACTCGCACAGTTGCTACTCATTTAGTTCTATCCGTTACCCAGCAGACCGTGCTTTGGCTTTCCATGATTTGCCTAGCCAAGAGATTCAGTCCCTTTCTTTCAAAGGCAGAAAGTAAACCTTTAAGCGTAAAAATTTCAGTGCATTGCATTGTGGACTGCATTGTTGGTTTCTTCTGCACAGTTTTAAATACAATATCATTTTCAGGCTCAAACTCCAATGTTTTCCAAGTCTTCTAATGGAAACTTTTTTTTATTACCAATGGTGTGGTCGTCTTTAAAAGGAACAAGACAAAACAAGACTTATCAGAGATTTAAATAAAAAACCAGGAGAACAAGCCCATAAAATGTCTCACAGTATCACAGTTAACTCATGTTACACAGTGAAGTCTACTCACTATACCTGAAATAAAGCCAATTGTTCATTAACAGTAGTTATATTATCAAAGGTTCACCAGAAGAAGATAGCTAAGATTATGAAGCAAATGAAATTAAAGAAATCAGAACTTATGTCAGCCTTTGTTTAGGTAATGAGAAAATATATTTCCCTTCTAGCATTTGTTACCCTGCTTTGCATATTTCACCAAGAAGTTGGAAATTTGTAAGAAAACAGGTAAATGGGCACAATATTAATATAAAAAAATAATATGACAAAATTAATCTTGCTGGCTGAACATGGTTCTCGGTGCAAGAGATTATAATATGGCCCAAGACGTGGGATTAATTAACAACCTGCACTGCTGCGTCAAAATGGTCTTGTATATCAACTGCAGGGCAGTTAGCCGATTTAGACTATTAAAAGTCACTCTTTACTCATGACTAGGGACATTCTGGTAATCACGACATCCCCCCCGGAGTAGCACATCATGGTGGACAGTTCTCTGGACTCATAACTGGTGGGTTGTGTGGTGGGCTCAAGTCCCTGCTGCAGACACTGCTGTTGTACCTTGAGTGAGATACTTTACCTCAATTGCCCCAGCCCAAGTTGTATAAATGGAAATCACCATGGCTGTCCATCCTATGATGGACTGGTGTCCCACCTATGGGGAGTGGCGTGCTCTCCAATTGGTTCAGACCTAGAAACCAGGATAAATTCAGGCTTGATGAGCCATTTTGTGTAGCTCCTACCGATTACATTAAGGCATAATACAGTAAAATAATATTTTATTAACTATATATCATAAATAATTTTAAAAATATTTTATGTATGGACATATCTATTAATGTGGTAGATGACATTCATGCATAATTCCAATCAGTGTCCAAACAAGTTTTTCCACAAATTATACTTATAACGTGACAATCAACCACTGAACCACTTGTCATGCCCATTCTCACAAACTCTTCTTTTGTTCTCCCCACCCACCCCTTCTTCCTGTGCCCCTTCTCTCTCCCTCACACCTGAAGAGACTC